GGGAAAGAGAGAGAAATCCAAAACTGAAAGCTACCTATTGGTCAAGGAATTGATTGCCTCCCCATGTTCTCTTCTGAGTGACCCAAGCTATTCTTAACACTAGCGATAAACATTACATCTAATGGAAACAAACAAACAAGTTTCTGCCACTGGTATTGGGCTAGGAAATAGAAAAAAAAATGAATTAAGTTTATACTTCTAGTTTTTATATTTACGGATTGGGACATTAGGGAGTGAATTAGGTAGTGTTACAGAGTTCTTTTGTGAAAGCAAACAGGAAACAGAGCACCAAGAAAACTGCCCTATAGAGCAATCATTGGATTAAACAAAGTAAATTTAAAATGAAAGAACTTCAGGGTAAAGTAATGAGGACTATGTGGATTTATTTCTGGATCATACACAATACTTGCTTCAATTTAATCATCCAATTCCTAAAGGCACAGGGACCAAACCACCCCGGAGTACTTATTAGTCATTCTTCTGCAACAGAGGCTTATGTCGTACAAGAAAATTCTCCTTGGCTAGAGAATAACATTGGCTTAGAGCTAGATGCCATTCTAAATCGTCAAATACCAAATGAACAAGAAATCAGATGATGCATTTTTCCTGGAAAGTATGAAGCACTTCACATTATTAATTTTCAAAGCTACTCTGAAGCAAGCAGGAATAATAATTATACCCTCATTTATAATTAAAGAAAGTATAGGTCTAAGGTCAAATCAAGGTCGGTGACAAAGCTAGGTTAAGGCCCCCTCATTTCCGCTCCAACCAACCATCCATAAAAAAATAAAAAAGAGAAAAAGGAGAAAAATACAAATAAATCAAAGGATAGCTCTGAATGTCCTTGAAGGAAAGGAAGAATAAAATTAACCCCTGAAGAGCCTCTGCTACCTTAGCACATAAGCCTTCTCCCCAGACCCAAGGTGAGGCATCACATGTGCCTTGCTAGAGGCTGAGCCTCTGACAGGGAACAACTCAGTTACCTGGCAGAATAGCCCACCCCCAGGGGCTTTCTTTTATGTTTTCTGGGGTCTTTCCCTTGGGGGTTGCCTGGCACCGTTACATCGATCTTAGACTTCTTGTTTCTTGGCTTCTGCAGAGATTCTGTTGCTTCCCCATTAACCTCTTCTCCCAATCTGCTCATTTCTTTACTCCGGAATGGGATGTCTACCACATCCTGGCATTTCTCCAAGACTTTTCTCCAGCCAACGAGGTCACTGTTTTCTTCTAAAGGTGAATTCCTAGAGAAAGGGTATCCAAGAAGACGAAGAAAGAGAGCCACTGAAATCTGGGCATCCCTGGCAGCATAAATTACCTGAAGAGAAAAGTTAGAGATCAGTGATCTGGAAAGTGAACCGGAGAGAACAATTCAAAGTCAATTACAAAGATATAAACAACTTTTAGGTCTAATTCAAGATGTACAATAACCCAGGTACCATGTTCTTCTTAAAAACTCATTATTATGAAAAATTTCAAACTATAAAAAAATATATCACCTGTATAATGAATCCTCATGTTCCTGTCTTTAACTAAAACAGTTAAAATAATGACTTACTCCAAATGCTTGAAAATCCCAATCTATATACATCAATGAAGTTTCCTTCTATCTGCTACCAAACCTACTGGACAGATTTTTCTCAAGTCTGGGATAGGGCAGTTACCACAGGCCTAACAATTAGCACATGAACTTCACTTTGGGGATGGCTGTCATCTAGAATAGCTGAGACCAAAATTCGTTAAGAGACCTGTGTGACTATAGTGAAGTTCACTGCCATGTCTAATAATAAGACGTTGAAATCAAGGAAAACAAATGGTTTCAAACATGGCCTCATATCAAAAGTCACAAGGGCTTATTTCTGGAATTTATGTCTTTAATAATGGTAAGTCATTCTCCCAAGTAACTGGTCATAGATAAAAGTAGTCAAAACTATAATTAATAGCTTTTCTTAACAAATGCTATTGTAAGGGCTTTAAGATTCCTTTAATTCACCTTTAATAACCAAGCCTGGTAAACAATACTATTAGTAAGGATTTTTTAATGCTTTTAGATTAAAACAAGTTTGTATAAAAATTTCTACCTAGACCAAATAATCTACATATCTATCAGCAAGTTTTCTCCCACAGGAAAAGTGTGCTTGAATGTAAAAAGTTCGGAGTGCTTTTTAACAAATTATTTTCAAATGATAAGGAAACCAAGGTATTTTCAACAAATGGTGCTAGAACAACTAAATGTCCACATGCAAAAGAATGAAATTGGACTCCTACCCCACATCATACACAAAAATTAACTCAAAATGGATCATAAATCTAAGTGTAAGAGCTAACACATAAGACTCTTAGGAGAAAACATAGGAGTAAATGTTGGGTTAGGCAATGATTTCTTAGATATGACACCAAAAGCATGAGCGATAGAAGAAAAAATTGATAACTGGACCTCATCAAAATTAAAAACTTAAGTGCTTCAAATGATCCCACCAAACCTAGGTGTTGGGGTGGTGGGGTGAAAGGGGAAATGGCTGTTAATGGCTGTGCTGTTTCTTTTTGAGGTGATGAAAATGTTCTAAAGTTAGATTGTGATGATGGTTGCACAACTCTGTAAATATATTAAAATCCATTGACTTGTATATTTTAAATGGGTGAATTTTATTGTATGTAAATTATATTTCAGCAAAATTATTAAAAAGAAGGAAGGAAAGAAGGAATGAACAAACCAAGGCACAAGGAAGTAACTTACTGAGGGTCACAACAAATCAGAAATAGCTGAAGAAAACAAATTCAAGTAATTTGATTCCCAGAGTTCTCTCACAGGATATTAACCTTAAGATAATAGCTATTGCTAACTCTACTAACATTTGGAAGGATGAATAAGTGGAAACTGACTCAAACCTAGGCTTATAGAGGGTGGTAAGCCAAAAATCCAAAAATCAGATTAATCTGAGCCACAGAAAATGGTAAAGCATAGAGAATGAGGGGCAGCAGGTATCTGTGAAAGCAAAGATACAAGTAGGGGTAGAAACAGAAAGATAAGATGAAAGTATTCATAAAGAACACTTAAACCCCATCTCTTCTTTTATACCACAGGGCCAGACAATTACTCCATCTCTACTGCAAAAAAATAAAAGATTGTAGAACCAAAACTAAAATAAAGTCATTTATGTCAGGAACAAAATGGAGTTGGCCAACACAGGCATATTAAAGAAACCAAAGTTTTACTTAACATAAGTTACAGAATGTACAGCTCTCCTCAAAAATCAGCAGAGATAGCCAGCCAACCCCCAAACACCAAGTCTATTCATACCATCTTTGGACTTCCTTGTTCCCCTCTCTCAGCTACCTTGATCCAAATAAAGAAGAAGACCACGAGGCAACCCATCAGCTGCAGTTACCCCATAAAAACCCTTTAGTCGGAACTCATTGCTCCCATAGCTTTGAATTTCCTGGTTTACAGATTGAAACTCTTGCAATAAACTCATCTTCTGCTTTGGTTTACTCAATGTGCAGGATTTAGTTTTTGACACGTGTAAGTCATATAAATGGCTAAATCACAGAAGATCTGGACCTTATAATACAAGGCATGGCAGAGGCTGGGGTCAAAGTGTCACCTGAAAAGATGAGGATTATGGGAAAGTCTACATATTGGATGGTTAGACTACCAGTACCTTTCTCCCACTCAGCTACCAGAATATAGGCTGTGGGGCTTAGATCTCTTGGGCAGAAGACTAGAAGATTCATCTCTGGAGAAACTGAGTAGCCTGAGAGAAAAGACTTATAGTTACTAACATTTGACTGTAATCTATAGCTACTGATAATAAACCCCACTAGTCCAAAAGCCATGACCATGTGCACTGTGCTCTCAATCCATTTTTTTTCATGGCAAATTTAAATATTATTTTCTGCACTTTCTAAAATCTCACTAAGCATTATTATAGACCAGTCACCTTGGGTATTATTAGATAATGAGTCTATTTTAAGGCATTTCTGCCTAATACTTATATCATATTTGAGAATAAGAATTTTAAAAATAATTATACTTCACAAGCAATGACGCTTCCATTCTTCAACTATTCTGATAAGAAGTACCTGGTCCTCAGTAAGATTCTCAGCATCCCAGTTGCTGCAACGAAGTACAAGGGACTTGTCAAGGGGAAAGTTCAAAACAGCCTCAGCAAGTGATTTCAGGCTAAGCCCATTACAGAGCAAATTGTTTCTATAAGAAATAAATAAAATCATGTATCAAAAATGGGCAAAGGACAAGAATAGGCAAATAAAAACATATAAATGGCTAATAAGCAGATGACAGATAATCTCACTAGACATCAAATCAAATAAAAATTATACACAATTTCTTAATCTATTAGATTGCAAATATTTTTTTTAAATAACTATATCTATTATTAGTGCAACATGATGAACCAGACAGTCTAATCTAAAATTCGTGAACTGTACATTTTTACAACATTTATTAAAAAAACTTTAAAAATAAATAGCAATCAAAATTTTGAACATGAAAACTGATTCAACAATTCCGCCTCTAGGAAATCATCCTAAGGACAAATGTACATAAAACAATCTTCATTGCAGCACTATTTATAGTAACAAATAATTGAAAACAACCTAAATGTGCATAAGGTTTTGGTTCAATTAATGGAAATTAAGGATTTAGGGAGACATAAAATTTTCTTTTGTTTTATTAGAAATTGTAAAAGTAATGAACACTTATTATTAAAAAATCAGACAATACAGCAATATAATGGGAGAGAAGTGAACTCTCTGCCCCACACTTCTGAAACTCCTGGGGAATATGACTATTAACAGTATGCTCTGCCCCACCCCAGAATTTTTCTATGCACAAATAAACAGATGGTTAGATGGAGTAGATATAATTTTCTGATATTTATTTTGCTTTCTGTTATGCTACTTGCTCTATCACTCAATGACATGACAGTAAGTACAAATGTACTTAGTTCAACCTTTTTCACAGTTGTGTGATTTTTCGAACATGGATATTCCATAATTCTTGAAATCAATACCCTCATTGAAAGACAGTACTTATTTTTAGTTATTTAATTCCATTTAGGTCATTAGTCTTTTTTTTTTTTTTTAGGCGAGGCAACCCTAGGTTGACCTCACAGATTACAACCTTATTTTTTTTATTTTTTACGCCTACAGCACCTGGTCTTCCTAGATGGTCTCCCATCCAACTACTAACCAGGCCCAACCCTGCTTAGCTTCCGAGATCAGATGAGATGGGGCTTGTTCAGGGTAGCATGGCCGTAGACTCATTAGTCTTTTTTAAATGTCATATTTGGAAAGGTTTCACATTACTTGAGGATGAATTAAAAACAAGATGCCGCCTTTGTTACTTCAAAGTTTCACTAGGAAAGATTCCAAAATCATATATAACAATCTCTATAAAGAATCATTTTTGGTTAACACATAATAAAAATATAAAGAGTATGAAAAAGATAGCATTAACAAAAAAAAGAAAATCTGTGCTCCTCCCCAAAGTCAACTGAAAGTTACAACTACTTATGGCAAACATCAGGAGCAACCTGTAGCTACAGTGCTAAGTATAATTCTTGCACTAGAATGACAAATTTCTTACACTATATTAAAAAATTTATTTTTACTAAGTTGTTCAATAATAAAATAATGTTTAGTTTTAATAAAATTTCATTAAAAATTGAAAGGCCTGATAAATGCTTCATTCTTATTTCTACAGAAGTTCATGGTAGTATTCAGCTTTAGCCAAATCATTATTCTGACACTTGGCCATTCTGCATTTAGCCAGACAGAGAATTCAGAGCACCACTAATTTCTACATATTCCAAATGAGGACTGTAATTGCATAGAAAGAGATCTGGAAAGACAAACCAATCTGATGATGATGATGCGGAAGGTGGTAGTGATGACAGTGTTGATGATGATGGTAATAGTTAAAATTTAAACAGCAAGAATGTTGCGTCAAACACTATTTCTAGTTCTTTACATAGTTTAACTCATTTAATCCTCGCATCAGTCGTATGAGGTGGGAACATTATTATCTCTACAGATGACGGAACTGAGGAGTAAGTGGAGTTTGGTAATTTGCCAAAGGTCACATAGCTGACAAGTGGCAGCTCTGGTGCTCCCACCCACACAGTCCGTTCCAGAGTCAACTCTTAGCCACTGGGCACACCACCTCTAGCAACAGAGTAACAGTGGGCACCTCTGGGGAGGCAGTGCCAAAGGGCAGAGAGCCTGATGAAAGATGGCTTCTACTTTTATTTCCAAACACTTTCAGAGTTCAAAATTTTTTACAGTAAATATTTTCATGTATTATTTGAAAAAAAAAAATGATACTTATGAATTTTATTAACATAAGCAAACTACAAAGCTAAAATAAAATTTCATTTTATACTAAAAAATTACAATAAGCATAGATTTTAATCTGGTCTTCCCTTAGTTTACTAAATCCTCTAAACTTTTAATGTCAATGTCATTTGAGGCAGGGAGAGAGGCAGTTTCAGTCCGCATTATTAAAATGAGGACCTGAGATACACATGAGAAGGTAACTTAGACTCCCTAAAAAAAAATTAGAATAGAATTTCCATAAAAATATAATTCCAAGGGAAAGGGAAATCTCTCTTCCTCCCAGTAAAGGATAAGAGCTGCCACCACTGTTGGCCTAAAGCAAGGTATGCAAACTCAAATGCTTACAGGATGAGTTGGGGTTACACTGGGAGAGGTGTGGACTTGAGCGAAAGAACAGAGCATCCTCATTTAAAAGAGGACAGTGCTACCCAGACAATTGTTGCCATCAAGAACTACTGACCCTATCTGGTGATAGCCAGAAGAGAAAGGGGTTGGGGAGCTGGGGGAAAGGGGTGAAGGGTTAAAGAAGTACAAATTAGTAGCTGACAGATGGTCACGGGGATGGGGAGCACAGCACAGGGAATGTGGTCAGCAGTAATGTAATAGCTAGGTGCAGAGCCAGAGAGGTGATGGAGTAATTGGGGGGATTGTTTCATAAACTATATAAACGTCTAACCAATGTACTGTATACTTGAAACTAATAATAAAATAAAATACTAAATAAATAAGAACAACTGACCTCATATAGTCAAATCATCTAATTTTTCAAGAGAAGTCAGAAATACAGATTTTTACATTAAATCTTCTGGATTTAAACTAAGATTTCCCAAAATTATCATATGAAAAAAAAACCCCAAAAAAACCAGCTGCAGCCCTAATTTAGCCAGTGGGGCCATCAGGTTATAATCTGTAGCTTACAGAGACACCTTATTAAAGTTTCATCTAAAAAGACCAATTCTAGGTAACTAAAGTTTTTTCAGGAGCTGGAATATTTCCTCGAAAGTTCAATATGCATCTCAGAAGCCACTCTGTTCCTAAAGAATTTCAGATGCTTCATTATTGATTCTCATTAATCTATAAATCTTGCTAAAATATTTGCCCCTCAGCTCCAGGAATCCCAGCATTGTACAAACCATACCTCTGCATCATGGCTAGGTATCGGAGGTCCAGGCACCCCTTAACGACAAGGCCATAATCCTGCAGAAGCTTGCTTGCATCTTCTGAACATCCTACTCCAACTTTTAAAATAGCGCCATCTGCCAAAATGTTCAATAATGTTTTTGGTAGTGTTTTTCCTCCACAGATCAGCTTGGGCAAGCGAACCAAGACACAGAAGCCACTTGGGGAAGCCATTTGAAGGAGAGACAGAGGACTAGCTTTGCCTTCCAAATTCACCTGCAAAAGAGGAAAAAACAGGGCCACAGTTAACACCCTAGCACAGCACCAAGGACAACATGAAACCGTGGCAAAAAAAGGTCTAAGCGGGTATATCCTTAACTTCCCAAAGGGAGCAGCTGACCAGATTTTGGTTCAAATATAAGGATCAGCCCATGCTAACAAATGCAATGTACTTTGTGAAGGAGCAACTTAAATAGTGGTTACTGAGGGCCCAAACTCCAGGGCCTGAAATATGAGCAGTCCATAAATAGTGACCAGCAGACACAGAGGAACACTGGAACATATATTGGCAGAGTCATGTGAAACATACTGGTTTTAAAAGGCTAAGAAAAAAATGCTAAGGTGCAGAGTGCCAAACGATAAACAAACTCTTTATTATCCAGACTCTAATGTACATGCTAGTGACTTAACTCATTTACCATCACTGCCTCAAGATCTGATTTTTATAAGGAGATAGAAATACAATACTAGTATAAATAAGTGGTACCTGCCAATATAATAAATCCTGATAGTCCTAAGGGCTTTCTCAGCATTCTGTGGTCACAAATGCTGTGTGTGTGTGTGTCTGTGTGTGCGTGCATGTCTGTGTGTGTGTGTGTGTGTGTGTGTGTGTGTGTGTGTATATATA